GAGGGCGCTACTGTGGTGGGTGTGCACCTGCCCTGGTGCTTTGGGGGATGGGAAAGGTATCACCTAAGAGGGTGGTACTGCCCAGAGAGGCACAAAGATACCAAAGACCTCTGTGGATTCATGCTTCTCTGGTGCTCATCTCTTCGACTCCAAGTACCAACCTATCTGTATAAAGGTGACAGTCATAGACTGGATGGTGTGTGCTTTCCACAACATGTTGCATTAAAAACTAATGTTTGTGGGTTGACAAAACATAGGCTATGAACTCAGAGGCTAGTGAAGGGTCTCTTCATCTCTTTTAGCAGTGTGGACAGACTGAAAATTCCCTTCTTTTTGCCCTATCTAATCCTACACATCTAAAAGCCCTCATAGGGACTGCTACACACAGGTTCTTTCTGTCAGTGTCTCCCCAGCATCTGGTGGCAGGTGCTTATCCTGGGATATTTCAATAAAAACAAAGCATTAAAATCAGAATTACTGGAAATTGTTTTCTGGTAAAAGTGAGTACCCAGTATGAAATGATCACCCAAATGACTACTGCTCAACCTGTAAACATCGACGGGATGCCTTCTTTATAGACTGGCACTTGCTCTGAAGAAACGGTGTGGATGAGACAGCCATATGCCATCCACGATGGGAAAACGATTTGACAATTATCTGCTAAAGTCATGTGTACAGTGTGTGGGAGTACAGCAGAGAAACGCCTAGATCTGCGGCAGTCAAGAAAGGGTTCCCAGGGCAGTCTGGATGGACATTTGCACTTCTGGCAGAGAGAAGCAGAGGACAGGCAGAGAAAGGGCACTGCAGGGAGATGAAGCCACCAAACACAAAGGTAAAACAGGGCAAGAGTCCCAGAAGCCTGGCTGTCAGCACTGCCAGTACTCCCAAAGCTAAAGTCAAATGAAGCCATGAAAACCAACAGGTGTGAGAGCATGGAGACCATGCAAGGTTTTATCTTGGAGCAGGCAGAGAAGAGCCTCAGCGAGGGCCTGGAGCCACAGTACAGGAGGCTCAGCAGAGCAAGACCAGGAGCAGAGAGGACAGGAAGGAGATCCTGGAAGAGAATCTCCTGGGCGGTGAGAACAGGCAGGGAAAAGAGGAATGTGCACAGGGGGCCTGAGTGGCCACCTGGATCCAGGGACATCCAGGATGAGTCCCAGGTTTCCAGCACCTTCCTCATCATATCAAGGGGAGAAGATGAGTGTGTGAGAATGAGGTGAGGGCAGAGAGGGAGGAAGAGTTTGGGGTGTGATGTGTTGAGGAAGGTGTTATGCCATTCTCGAACACTCTACTTTTGATTGTCTAAAAACAGCCTTTTCTAAAGTCACCTGCTTTCCACATTTAATCACTGCCACGTAATTCTCCTGAGGAGTAATCAGCTCTTTATCTCCCAATGTCCTGAAGACTGCCCCACCCCTAGCAGAAGAATATGACTGCACGCACCTTCTAGTCACAGCAATTTAACAATGAGCGCTTGGTAACCTATGCAATCTCACATACAATTTTTTAAACTTACCTTTTGTGTCAATTATGAGTTTGTTTGTATAAAGTTTTCTAGTGTTCATTAGCTGAATACTCTAAGAGTTAACAGTAATAATAATTTAGGAGACATTTTTCTATTTCTAGGTAGATATAGCATTTACTGAATATGGAAAAATCTTAAGCTCAGCAAAGCAGTGTTCAGACATTTAAAATTATCCAAGCCAATTCTTTGTTGAGGGTGGGAGGAGGCTTTAAGATGCCTCAGCATTTAAACTTTTCATTACTATATTGGTAGAATTTGTTGCAATAGCTCATATACGAAAAGTGGTTCTACTTCTTTTCTTCACATTAAAAACAGATTAGAGAATGGAAAGCATATTCATATAAAAATTTCTGTTTTGGGTTAATTATGCTTACAAAATGTTTCCTGAAGCAACAGTTCGAACTTGCCTGTAACTATTTGTCCCATAGCTGACAGGAAAAAAGCAGATTTCTCATGCTCTTATGTACCTAAAATGGACTACTCACTCGAAGTAGAGTTAATACAAATTCACCACCTTCAGAAGTACTTTTAAGAAGGCATTGCCTCCCTCTTACAGCAACCAAAACAGCATGGCACTGACCTAAAAATAGACACACAGATCAATGGAACACAACAGAGAACCCAGAAATAAAACCACATGCTTACAACTAATTCATCCTTGGCAAAGTTGGCAAAAATGCATACAATGGGGAAAGGACACCCTATTCAATAAATGGCACTGGGAAAATTAGAAGAGAGAAACTGAAGCCCTATCTCTTATCAGATGCAAAAATTAACTCAAGACAGATTTACGACTTAAATGTAAGACCTGAAACTATAAAAATCCCTAGGGGGGGGAAAAAACTAGGAAAAACTCTTCAGGATATTGGCTGAGGCAAAGAATTCATGACTAAGATCTCAAAAGCAAATACAACAAAAACAAAAATAGACAAATGGGACTTAAACTAAAAAGCTTCCTCACAGTAACATAGACAGAGGAAACAGACTACCTATAGAAAGGGAGAAAAGATTTGCAAACCACGCATTTGACACAGATCTAATATTCAGAACTTATAAGGAACACCAACCACTCAACAAGAAAAAATACAACCCAATAAAAAGTGGGTGATGGACATGAATAGATGTTTCTCAAAAGACACAGAAGCAGCCAACATATTAACAAATGCTCAACATCAATCATCATCAGAGAAAAGCAAATTAAAACCACAGTGAGATACCATCTCATACCAGCCAGAATGGACATTACCAAAAAGTCAAAAAACAACAGATGTTGGCAAGGAGGCAGAGAAAAGGCAATGCTTATACACTGTTGGTGGGAATGTGAACTAGTACAATCTCTATGGAAAACAGTATGGAGATTCCTCAAAGAACTAAAAATAGAACTACCATTCAGCCCAGCAATCCCACTACTTTCCCAAAGGAAAAGAAAAAAAAAAAAAAAAAAAGCACTGTCTTAAAACAGAATGAAAATTAAAATAGCCAATTTAAACATTAAATATTAGAAATATTTATAATACAAACAGTAAATAAAAAGATGACATCATTCTCCAAATACTAAGCAGCCAAGGACAAGCCATCTGGAACAGAGGTACCTAGGACTCTGGTCACCATAGAGAAAAAAGGCAAATCTCTCACCCAAAACAGAAAGCTCCATTAGTCTTAATTTTCCACAGAGTTTATAAACATCACATAATTGCTGTTTATAAAAAGACCTTTGTTTTCTAAAGTAACTCAAAGTGTTGCCTAAGATAAACACAAATATGACATTCAATGCTAGACACCTTTAAAATCACAACTGTTATGTTTCTACTAGAGAAAACATGCGTATACTAGTAATTAAAAATATATTCATATATAATATATATATATAGAGTTGAAGTCTTGCTCTGTCACCCAGGCTGGAATATAGTGGTACGATATTTGCTCATTGCAACCTCTGCCTCCTGGGTTTAAGCGATTCTCCTCCCTCAGCCTCCCAAGTAGCTGGGATTACAGGTGCACGTTAATTTTTGTATTTTTAGTAGAGATGGGGTTTCACTGTTGGTCAGGTTGGTTGTGAACTCCTGACCTCAGGTGATCCACCCACCTCAGCCTCCCAAAGTATTGGGATTACTACAGCCATGAGCCACTATGCCTGGCCTATTAATAAAATATTATTCTTAGCTCTGAAAGATGCTTTAAAGCTCATAAAAGTATCATAATATATATTAGTTATAAGGTAATTCTCTATTAACTAGAACAAGTTAGTCTAACGAAACACGTATTTACTATATACAGCTTGCCATATTCCTCCAGTATCTCTTGAAGAAAAACACTGCTATCCTTCCCATTCGGAGTGCAACTACAAACCATAATTTATGATTTACTTTCCATTTTTGTGTGAAAAAAGATACTACATTAAAACATAATTTAGTATAGTAAAACGCTAGTTATCTGAAACTTGTCAGATTAAGACATCCTGTCTCTTTCAACATCTCACTTAAAAAAACTTATCAAAATCTTGCCTATTGTGAACAAAACGCCATTAACCACTTTATCGTCTTCTTCAATAGAAAGCTGTAACTACCAAACGGCAGATTTTCATGTCACGGCAAGGCTATGGCTTCAAAACAGCCGCAGCCACAGAAGCTTGGAATTAATCCACGACAAAACGTTTTCAGCCTCATGCCATTCATAATGTCGGTTCTTAGCAAATGCCTATGTGGCAAGAGGCCCGCAAAAATCTTTCATGACTGCTTTCAAGGAGGGGGACAAGAACAGTCTGGATCCACAGTAAGATAACTAAGGGGCCGAGAAAGGCAACATCTCTCATTCTTCATCTTGGTCCTTTTGGTTTCTTCAGCATTCTACAAATGCCTGAATTTTATCTTTTTACAGGCAAACTCTAATGTATGGTGTTTTTTTTTTTTTTAGTGGAAGCTTTCTAATATGGCTTTATTGACATCTACATTTTGTAATATGAAAAACACAAGAGAAATTGAAGTTTACTTACTGTCACCTTAATAGTACATGACAAAATGCACTCCTAATCCCTAAAGCATCCATAAATGTACTCCTAATAACATTAAGTATACAAAACCCACATTTAAGGTTGAATACATTCCTTCCCAATGTATTTTATAACTGAAAACTCATTCGTTTAGGAGATAAAAAATCCAGTATTAAGACTTATGTCCAAACAACAAAACAACTTGTAAGTTTAATTCAAATCATTACAAATAGGTAATCAATGCCCCTCCAAAATGCAGAGAATAGAGAAAAAACAGCAAGGCCTGTGGCAAGACAACTTAAGTAATATACTCCCCTAATTTATAATCAGTCAACATCTGCTTGAGAAATACCTGTTCTATCTTCTCTGCAGCAGATATTGCCATAGGGCTCTTACTATTTTATACCTGTTTGTGGAACAGAGACTAGAGAAGCCACACCCTCTATTTCCCAGGCTCCCTTGCAGGTAGATACAGTCATGTGACTGACACCCAGCCAATGAGACAGAAGCTTAAGCGACCTGGCACCACTCCTTCCTTACTTCTTTTTCTTCCTTCCTGGAGCAGCCATTGTGAGATCATGAGGCAACAATCATGAGGAAAGAGCTAAGACAGCAGAGATGTGGACCCTGACATGGCGGAGCCACTGCACCACCTCAAAGCTGCTTTTCCTCAGGTAAGACAAGTAAGTTGCTTCTTAGTGAAGCTGTTATTTCGATCTAAAAGGAGTCAAAAGTGAATACCAAATGTGAAAATATAATTCCACGAATTTCATCCTAACTAAACAAATGCATTCACATTCTGCTTGCCTCTTACTGAACACCTGTTGAGCAGACACTGGGGTCTACTTGAGGGTGCAGGGTAGGAGGAGGGAGAGGAGTAGAAAAAATAACTTGGGTACTGGGCTTAATACCTGGGTGATGAAATAATCTGTACAATAAACTATTTCTCGTACAATAATCTGTACAATAAACTGTGACATGAATTAACCTATATAGCAAACCTTCCCAAGTCTCTCTGAACCTAAAAGTTAAAAATAAAATGGTAAAAGTAAATAGAAATATTTTGTCCTGATGCTACCTCTACCATTCCTCAATACATATGTCCACATGTTCCCTTTTCGCTGCAGAAATGACTTTTAATGTCAGCTCAGCAGAAAGAATTGTCTTTAGTGCAGTGAATTGCCTTTCCTGGAGTCAAGAAGGAAATTAACCTGTGAGGTTAATGGCACTCTTCACAGTAATTAATACAAGAATTTCCGGCTTCACACAAACCTGAATGCTAAGTGGTAGCAAATATATCTCAGCAAAGCCTTTTCCCTCCACTGACTCATTATAAAAATAGAACTAATATGCTGAGGCAAAATTCTGAAATAGACCAACTTTAATATTTTGGTAAGAAAGACTATTGCCCACACTTCTGCGAGTCAGTGAAGCCATCACGGGACTTCTTAGATTTTCCTCTGTGCCCGACATCCTGCAACATAACACACAGTACCTGACAAATTCACTGTCTCTCTCTCCTCTCCCCTATTTACAGAGGAAAGATAACCTGGAGCCAACAACATGCTTTGCCAGAGGTGGATGCCACACAGTAATAACGTATCAGAGTGCTCAGCACCCTGCGCGTTGGATCAATGAGAAAGCTTATTCTGGCTGGATCTCTGTAATGGCCAGCCCCCCTACCACCACATTCTATGCTCAGAAATATTACAACTCTTTTGTTTCCTTGAAGAAGCCCTTCCCCCAGTCCCTCCAGGCTTTGAGATTCCGTTTTCTCTGTCCGAAACACTTTGTTTCTTGGTTACTTCTCCATTTCTGAGGACCCAACTTAAAAGGCACTTACGGCCGGGCGAGGTGGCTCAAGCCTGTAATCCCAGCACTTTGGGAGGCCAAGGCGGGTGGATCACGAGGTCAAGAGATCGACACCATCCCAGTCAACATGGTGTAACCCCGTCTCTACTAAAAATACCAAAAATTAGCTGGGCGTGGCGGTGCGTGCCTGTAATCCCGGCTACTCGGGAGGCTGAGGCAGGAGAATTGCCTGAACCGAGGAGGCGGAGGTTGCAGTGAGCCGAGATCACGCCATTGCACTCCAGCCTGGGTAACAAGAGCGAAACTCCGCCTCACAAAAAAAAAAAAAAAAAAAGGCACTTCCACTGGAGGACCTGGATAAAAGTCCCTCCACCTGCTAAGAGCTGCCTGGGCACCCATCCACACCCTGCATTATTACCTCGTGCTCTGTCTCCCATTAAACAGAGGGCTGGGTGAAGGCAGGGTCCATGTGGGACTTAGTCCCAGCCACACTTCCAGTACCTACCATTATGCCTGGCACACAGTACATGTCTAATGGGTACTTCTGTATGAAATGAATGAATTAATCTGTAACTAGAAGGACCAGTCAGAAGCAAGGGAAAGGCTGGAGGCACAGACCACATACAAAACTCTTCAGAAAGCCCAATCAACATCTGAGGCTGGATTACACAAAACTGTTAATATTTGGCCACTTTTCACTTATTAGAAGAATAATTTTTTGTGTGTATGGTTTTTTAAGTAGAGACAGGGTCCTGCTAAATCTCCAGGGCTGGTCTCAAACTTCTAGCCTTAAGTGATCCTCCCGCCTTGGCCTCCCAAAGTGCTGGGAGTCCAGGTGTGAGACACTGGCACCAGCCAAGAAGAGGAATTTCAATGCTTCAGTATAATAAATGCCTGAACTAGGGTAATGCAGGGGGTAAAAACAAAGAGATTTCAAAGGATGGAGTTACAGAATTTTGCAACCAACTGGTTGTGGATAAATCAGGACAAATAATGATTCAAAGGTGGGGTCTGGCCGGGCACAGTGGCTCATGCCTAGAATCCCAGCACTTTGGCAGGCCGAGGCAGGTGGACTGCCTGAGGTCAGGAGTTCCAAATCAGTCTGGCCAACATGGTAAAACCCCATCTCTACTAAAAATACAAAAAATTAGCTGGCTGTGGTGCCGCATGCCTGTAATCGCAGCTACTCAGGAGGCTGAGGCAGGAGAATCACTTGAACCTGGAAGGCAGAGGCTGCAGTGAGCAGAGATGGCATCACTGCACTCCTGCCTGGGCAACAGAACAAGACTCCATCTAAAACAAAAACTAACAAAAAACCAAGGTGGGGTTTGATGACCAAGACACATGGTATCATTAAGAAACAGATAATTCAGGAGTATTAACTGAATTTAGGAGGCAAAAATAAGGAGAGAATTCATTTAGATAAAATGAATTTCCAGATAGAGTAATACATTGAAGGTTTTTAAATCTTCAGCCAGAACAGTCACAGATGTTGAGACTAAGGGAAACTTGGAAGTCCCCTTAGTCTGATTCCCTTATTTTGTAGCCCTGTGAGGTTAGGTACACAGAGTCAGTCACTTAGTTACTAGCAGAATAACGGCTATAATCCAGGACTCCTGGAATCCAGGTCAACATCATTAAGGCAACCAACACCACTTCCTTCACTAAAGATGCAAGCCCAAGTTACTGCTGACAGTTGACTGAGGTAAAAGTCACCGTGATGGCTTCAACATCCATTTGATGGACAATTTCTTGGACGTTAAAATAACATCATATTGATATGCTCACAAAAGATTTATATTGGGAGTAAGGAGAATTATACTCCTTATATCATTTTAAAAAGCTTCCAACACACAAAACACTTTCTCCATCCCTGGTTTTCCTTGGATCTAACAAAATTACAGCAAAATTTGCAGTTGTAAAATACGTACACCAAAAATTCTAAACAGAGGTCCCAGGTTTTAGTCCTGTCTCTGCCATTTACTATATGTCTTTGGGCAAGTGAATTCACTTCCCTGGGCCTCAGACTTCCTGGTATGAAATAAGATAGATTAGATCACCTCTACGTGCACTCTAGCTCAAAAGATTATGACTACGAATGAACAAAAAATACTTGTATATGAATTTAGAAAATAAAATGTGCCCAGTACATCACTATCAACTAAACTCTGGTAAAAGAAGACTTGTGTTTTTTGTAAGCTGTCTTGGAAAGCTGTCTGCTTCACAACAATACTACCAACAACTCAGAATGTCTACTCCTAGAGCACTGGTTAAGTAAATCATGACTTACCCAACAATGGAATGTTACAGGACTACTTTTTAAATGAGGAAGATAAACATGGGATCATCTGAAAGTCTAAAATACATTAACTTTAAAAAGGTATAGAATATATAGTACGCCTTTATCTCTGTATAACTAAAAAGAATATGAAAGGCCTAGATTTACATGTGATTGGAAATGTGCGGGCATGCTATACCAGCAGCCTGAGTGCCTCCTCCACGGAGAGCAGGCAGGGCCCCCAGGGGAGAGAGACTCACCCATTGCACAACCTTCCACACTGTTTATTTTTAACTTGGAGGGTGGATTACACTATTTTTTAAAAAACTCGTTAAAATTAAAAGCTATTTGGAGCTACTTTAGATCATAGAAGTTATGGCAAATATAAGGTACTTTTGTTATTTTTTGCCCCGCCTACTGATTGATTTTTTTCAGCTGGAAGGGCTGCAGCGGCCCTCGGCCGGGAGAGAAAGGCCACAGCTGATCCTCGCCGCCTTCCCCATTTACCTTCAGCTGTCAGCTCAGACTGAAAGGGAGAGGCTGGCAAACTCACATGACAGGTCAAGGGGAGTTATGAAACATGAGACAGAGGTGCCGGAAAAAATGAGAATTCTCCCACAGAGAAGGGAGATGCCTCTGGGAAAACTAAAGACAGTCAGCTGAAAAAAAAAAATCACCAGGGACGGAGATGAACCAAATGGAAAACAAGATACATGAGGGGGTCACATGAACATGAAGCAGAAAAAAAAAATCTATTTACATCCTCATCAAACCATCCTGTGGACACTTAACACTGACCAGCCCAAAACAAATCTAACAGTACCACAGTTACCTACTTTACAGAATAAAATTGATCTAATTTACCATTGCTGTAAATACCACCTAGAACAAAAGTAGCAATGGGTAGGACAACCCAATCCCCTAAAAGTGAGCAGAGAGGTCAGCATGTGCCTAAAATACAGACCAAATATATGTTCATCGTAGGCACAGAAAATAAAAACTAGATACAAACAAAAACCTCAGGGGGAGTATTTTGAGACTGCAAACGTTTTTACTATGAAGACTGGAAAACTAGATTTGTGACTCACTTATTACCTCCCTGTAGCCATTGGGATGTTTTCGTTCAGAAGTGTTTAGAAAACAGAAATCTTTTAGCCTATGAAAATTAACTGTCAAAATCTCACTCAGAAACTATCCAGAGAAAAACCATAGAAACCTTCTCATCTCCCCACAGGAAAAAGAAATATTCTTCTAAATTTGCCCATGTCCTGTTTCCCAACCATTTGAAGTCAAATGTTATTTAACAGGTGCCGATTTTCATGGATTTGGCTGGTGACAGAGAAAAGAGCTAGGAACAGCACCAAGGCAACAATTCTGTCTTCCATAAACACAAACGCCACAGTCTACTTGTAAACGGTAAAAGTATTATGCACTTACACTGAAACAACAGAAAACTATTTTTAAATGAAGCCTAATCTCTCATTAGAGAGAGCTTCGCTTCTCCAATCATCTGTTTCCTTGGAAAAATCTCTGATAAACATCTGCAGATGAATGAAGATGTCCCCCGTGCAACACTAAATAGAGATCTATGCAAGACAGACCTGTGTGGAAAACAACCGTGCTTCTCCTAAACCCTGAAGGCAGGCGAAGGTTTCGAAGCAGTCCTTTGGCTGTCAGTCGTACGTGGATGGTGGCTAAGGAGAATTTGGGAGACAACAACATGTCTTCGGAGCAGGTGGAGAGATTTCACCGAAAAGGCAGTTTCCATGGACTGTCACATACTGTCTTTTTAAACTCAGTACTCTTCAAAGCCAAGAAATAGAGTGAGAGGAAGCATGCCCACACAGCAATGTCATTCCACCAGAGGCAGAAGAAAAATATCCCCAGGGCTGGCCAAGTGTTTCTGGCTTCCGTTTTCACTTCCAGATGTGGCCAGAACGATGCTCTTCCTCTGAGTAAAATCTCCTTCCTGCAGCTCCAGAAGCAGCCTCTGAATTACATCACACTGTGCATGCTTGTGGAGTTGTTATGGTTTTCATCAGAGATGGGAGATGGTGAAGGGAGGGGGGAAGTGGGTGGTCTTAGGAGCTTTACAGAACAACCAGTAACGTCACAGATCCTGTAACCACTTGAAAGATCGCTAGGGGAAATTATCTACTTCAAATGCCTCGTGTTTATTTCTTAATTAGAAAAAGATTAAGATTTCATGAAAGTAAACTGTGTCCTGATTTTAACATTTTTCACTCCTTATATTTGCACTAATAACATGAGCTTTTTTTTCTTTAGGTATTTTAAATGTAAAGCTATATTTAAACCTGAAATTTTGGAAGAAGTTTTTTTTTTTTTTTTTTTTTTTTTTAAAAATTACAGGCAATCAATGTTCCCAACTACAATATTTAATAAAATTTCTATTCTACTATGTTAATGACAGATTGTCAAAAGGTTAAAGTTCAGCTTTAATTCCCGTGTGCTGAGGACCTCACAAATTATCAACAATAAAAGATTAATGTGGTTTCTCTACCAGATGTAGTATCAGAGTTCCAGAGGAATAGTCCATCAGAAAGGCATATTCTAGAGACTGCATTTATTGCTTGAGTAATTATGTTTATAGAACATCATGTGGTCTCTTCCAGTGGTCTTTCAACACTAGGAGTGTGAGGAAGGCACAATTATGAGTATCTCTTGCTGGTTACCTACTAATTTTTATTTAAGGAGAGTGGCTTGTAAAAACACGTTAAAACACAATGGCAAAAACCAAAATAACTTGAAAAACAAAGATATGGACATAAGAATTAACCACAATATGCCCACTTAAGATAATTCCATTAAACCAGGAATAGCTCGAGCTCTTAACATTTTTTTTTAATTTTATAAAGTACAACAAAACAATGTGTTAAAAATGTTCTATACCTGCTTCCAAGATTTCCTAGGAAATAAGACTTAGAAATAAATGCAGAATTGTTACCACAAATAACTCTATTAAGTGCTATTAAAACTGGTTGGAGGCAGTTAATTATTTTACAAATTCTATCGAGTATTTAGGGTATGAAGTGGGAGGAGGGAGGGAGGAAGGGAAAGTTTAAGTAAGTCCTCTTCCCTCAGGCCTCCTCCCTCTTCACTCAAGCCTCCAACTTGCCCTTTTAGAGGCTGTCAGCAAGGGAGACAGACCCAATAACCTGCCACAGGTTCCTGTGAGAAAGATACACCTAGTTCATACACTGACAATGAACCTTCTAAATACACTCGCTGCAGCATGACAAGTGAAGCACAAATGATCAAGGAATTAGAGACAATACAAGCTGCTTTTAGGTGTTGTCTTTTTACTTCATCCCAGTTTGTTATTATGAAAAAACCTAAACACCTTTTCCTATCAGATTCTAAATACTAAAACTATGCCATAACCTTTTCCTCTACCCCTCAAAACCTCTAAAAGCCAAGATACCAATCAGCATTAAAAACATAAATAGAATAACAAATTTTGATATTATTAAAAACAGACAAGCCACCACTCCATATAGTAGGAGGCCTTTTTTTGGGGGGGTGGGGTGCGTTTGTTGTTTGTTCAGTAATAGTAAACTTTAAATTACCTTTTTTTTTTTTGAGACAGAGTTTTGCTCTTGTCACCCAGCTGGAATGCAATGGCGCGATCTCGGCTCACTGCAGCCTCTGCCTCCTGGGTTCAAGTGATTCTCCTCCCTCAGCCTCCTGAGTAGCTGAGATTATAGGCACCCGGCACCATGCCCGGCTAATAATTTGTATTTTTAGCAGAGATGGGTTTCACCATGTTGGCCAGGCTGGTCTTGAACTGCTGACCTCAGGTGATCCACCCGCCTCGGCCCCCTAAAGTCCTGGGATCACAGGTGTGACCCACGGCACCCAGCCTTAAATTACACTTGTTAAAAGAAAAATTCTTTAGATTCCCTAAAATAAATTAGAAGTCTAATCACCAATTAATCATATTAACATTTTTACTTGAATTACATTAAGCTATTATCACACATATTAAAAATAATCATTGTCAATGATATTTCTTAACAGCAGAGCAAGAAGCCAAAGGAATAAACAAGAACAGTGCCAGTGAGGAGGAAATCCAAAAGTCATTCTCATTTGTACAGCAAAATACACAAACAGCAGGTGTGCTAGATACATGATTGAGAACTGCACAAACTGGGCTGCAATTCTTTCCCAAACATAGTCTGCCTCCTGGTGGCTGTGCCGCACAAGTGCACCAAAACAAGAGAGTTGCTTTGGCAATCTATAAACATGGACGGCCATTGCTAACAGTCCACTGCTCCAGGCACTCGCTTACACACTTTACGTTTATTTGCTCAGTTAAATAACCGGATTAGCAATTAATTTCAGGTCACAACTATTTTTATACTATATACGCTTCTGGCAGGAGCCAAGGTAAAAAAACTGGTTCAAAAAATTCTTTGATTTTTGATCAGCCGTTAACCACTTTAGGCACTCTGTACTTTCTGCAATTGTACAAATGTGAGAGAAGTTTCTAAAGACAAAAAAAGTTTCTTTGTCATTTTCCAAAGTCTTAAGAGGACAAGACAGGCATCACTGAGGACAGTAGTGAAAAAATAAGGAAATTTTAGTGCCTAAGGTAGAAGAATTTGTAGTTGTAAAAGTTAGCTATAAGATGAGTCTTTGGGCTGGACATGGTGACTCTCGCCTGTAAACTCAGCACTTTGGGAGGCCAAGGCGGGTGGATCACCTGAGGTCAGGAGTATGAGACCAGCCTGGCAAACATGATGAAACCCTGTCTCTAAAAATATAAAAAATTAGCTGGGCATGGTGACAGGTGCCTGTAATTCCAGCTACTCAAGAGGCTGAGGCAGGAGAATCACTTCAACCTGGGAGGCAGAGATTGCAATGAGCAGAGATTGTGCCACTGCACACCAGCCTGGGCAACAAGAGTGAAACTCTGTCTCAAAAAAATAAAATAAATAAAAAATAAAAGGAAAGAAAAAGATGAGTCTTTATGAAGCAGAGCCTGTATTAGGACATCAGTGGAAAACAAAATCATGACTTAAAATTTTATGCAATGTAGGGTATCAATTTTAAACAGAAAGGATAAAGTATATGGGAGCAAACGTGCCAAAATGTCAGCAATGCTCTGGGAGGTGGAAGAGGCAGGATTTCTTTATAATATGCTTTTGTATTTTCCTAATTTTTTACAAAAGTCATGGAGCCAGAAAAAGATGACGATACAAAATGCTGGGGTAGTCAATATACTGTAATATCACGGTATATTCAAACAAATAGAAATTCCACTGAAGTCTGTATAGAAATGTGTCTTTTAAATCAGTGATTTAGAAAACAATGGTGTCATGATTCCAGACAAGATTCTAGTATATTCTGTATGGGGCTGCTTAGATGATACAAAATGCATTCAATTTGTCAGTTACTGTTTGTTACTGTTAATGATCATAAAGAATGGGGAAGATGATTACAATTCACACCAAGTGGCTTGTTCAGAGATTCAAGCTCTCTATTCATCCAATCTTCCTTAGCCTAATATGGAATATTAATCTTAACATCTATCACCTTACTTCCCCAACACAGCATTAATTGCAACATTTTCTTCAATTTATTCCTCACAGTCTTTAATGTAGTAAGTTCAGTTCTGTATTCCAGTTGTAGAACCTTCAGCTTAAGGCCCAATTTTTCCATACTATCCTCCTTACTAGGAATATACATTGTAATTATCAAAAAATTAACATGAAGCAATTAGAAAAACTATCAACTTCCATCCACCTGTAAGACAATAAGCTCTCAAACCATAGTGACATTGCCTTTTATTTTGCAATTAATAAGAGTTTAAATCAAAAGCAGTAATGCTTTGAATTCATGTACAATGTTTTTTAAAAACAAACACCAGTATGTTCACTGTAGACTATTTTTTAAAATTTAATTACTACGCATCATCCTGCTCTGTAATTTGTTTTTAAACTTAATATAAGCTTCATAAATGTATTAAACTTAAAATTTTCACACGTATCTTTCCACGGGATTAAATAAGCCTGTTATTTTAATGGCTTCAAAAATGTCTTGAAAATGTCAATGAACGTAATTTAAATAACACCTGTAGGGCATACAGGTTGTTTCCAACTTTCCCCCATTGTAAACAATTCTGAAAAGCAGTAAGTAAGTACATAAATTATTTTCCTAGAACCAATTCTGAAAACCAGAATTCCTGAAGGTGTTTGCTGTACGCTACAGCTGCTGTAACGTACCCTCAAGAGCTGTATGTATGAGCGCTGTTTCTTACTCTTCTCCAGTACCAGGTACTGCCATTAAAGGTAAGCAGGAACTGAGAGCACATTATTTTAATTCATATTTGGTAAACTCTTTTTATATGTTCTTTAGTACTTCATATATTTCTTTTCTGTTTAGTCTTTTTAAATGGTGGCAAGAACACTTAATATGAGATGTGCCTTCTCAACAAAATGTTAAGAGAATAATACAATACTGTTAACTGTAGGCACAAGGCTGTAACAAACTGCTCTAAAAAACTTCTCTTTTTGTCCTTGCATAACGAACCTTGTACCATTCAACAGCACCTTCCCATGCCCTGGCAACTACCATTCTACTCTCTGTTTCTGTGACTCTGACTATGTTCGATGCCTCCTGTAAGTGGAATCATACAGTATTTGTCCCATGACTGGCTTATTTCACTTAGCATATTGTCCTCCAGGTTTATCCATATCATTGCATATGGCAGGACTTTCTTCTTTTTAAAGGCTGCATAATACTCCACTGCGTGTGTATGCTGTATTTGCTGTATCACATGGACATTCAGGTTGTTCCCACATCCTGGCGATCGTAATGTGGCAATGACCATGGGAGTGCAATTATCTCTTCAACATCCTGATTTCAAGTATTTTGGTAAATAACCCCTTATCAGATATATGGTTTACAAACATTTTCTCTATCCCATAGGCTGCCTTTTCATGCTATTAAATGACCACTTTGCTCTGAGGATTTGTAATTTGATGTACTCCCACTTTGCTTTCGTTACCTGTGCTTTTGGTGTCATACCAAGAAAAATGTCAAGATTTGCCCCACGTTTTGAGGTGTTTTACAGTTTCAGATCTTATATTTAACTCTTTGCTCCATCTTGAGTTGATTTTTGTGTACTGTGAGAGATCAGGGTCCAATTTCATTATTTTGCTTGTGGATAACCAGTTTTTCCAGTACCATTTACAAAGAGACTATCCTTTCCCTACTGTGTATTACTGGCACACTTATTGAAGATTAGCTGACCATTTATGCATGGATTGATAAATCCATAAAATAGCCACTAGGCTATTTTATTCCATTGGTCTGTTTCTATCTTTGTGCCAGTACCATACTGTTTTAATTACTATGTATTGTAATATAGTTTGAAATCAGGAACTAAGATGCCTCCAGCTTTGTTCTTTGTCAAGATTGTTTTGGCTGTTTACAGTCCTTTGTCATTCATTACGAATTTTGGGATTGTTTTCTCTATTTCTGTAAAAATAAAAATTACACTGGGATTTTGATAGGGATTGTGATGAATCTGTAGATCTCTTTGGGTGTTATGTTCATTTAGCTTCTATTATATGACTTGTGTTTATCTTGCTCATTTGACAGAGCTCAATGAAGAGTTATGTGCTGATATTATCTCAATTTGTTGTTTGCTTGTAAATACTGTTTCTATGCTTTTTATTTTTAGAGATGGAGTCTCGTTCTGTCACCCAGGCCAAAGTGCAGTGATGTAATCTCAGCTCACTGCAACCTCTGCCTTCGGGGTTCAAGCGATTCTTCTGCCTCAGCCTCCTGAGTACTTGGGACTACATGTACATGCCACCATGTGCGGCTATTTTTTTGTATTTTTGGTAGAGATGGGGTCTTGCTATATTGCCCAGGTTGGTCTCAAACTTTTGGCCTCAAGCAATCCACCTGTCTTGGCTTTCCAAAGTGCCGGGACTACAGGTGTGAGTCACCACACCCAGGCTGTTTCTAATGTTTTTTTAAAGCTTTTGTTGTCATAATTATTAATCATTTCTATTATATTAGTGTTCCTGGAAAGATCTTTTCTACTTAAGTCTATATTCTTAGTGTTTTAATTACTTTTTGTGTTTAAAACTAATTTATCTGGAATAGTTTGTATTTATGTGAAAAAGATCTAGCTCCTGCTAAAAAGGTGGCCACTGTCTCAAGAAGATTAAGTAAATGATCCACTTCTCCCAAACCGCAACACCAAAACAACAAATATATCTCATATCAAAAGAGCATTTGCCTTTTAAATATAAGGAGAAAGTTATAATGATCGTAAAACAACAGTGAAAAACAGCCTTCTGTCTGCTCTCACCGGAAGAAACCCAGGCAGCCTCGGCATCACCTCATCTGCAGGTTTGCACCTTGCAACCTCTTCCCAACACTTGGCAAAAGGAGGCAAAAAGGCCACCCTGTTGTCCTGTGCTGTCTTTACTAAGTAACTGTGGAAGGAGCAGTGCATTTTCTACCTTCCAAGGCAGACATCCTGGCACCTGAGACTGATGATCTTGTGTAAAACAATCAGGGTGCTGGATAAATACAGCTCTGGTACCTCTCGTATCGCAATGGCTTTAGTATGTGGTAGAACCAAGGTAATAATAGTTTGCTGTGGTATGTGTGACATTTTGCTCATAAACAGTAAGCCAAGATTTTTTTTAGAGTCAATGTCAACTAGAATCTTGCAGCATCATAGCCTTTAAATAAATTACAACAGTGAGACCCCAAGAGGATGGTTCTTGACTTTAAGTAGTCTTTCCTGCTTGCTTTACGGATTTAAAATGATTCAACTTCCTGGAAAAGAACTCTAAAAATAAGCCACGAGAATTATAAAAACAACATAAAAGATCATCACCATTACCATTCCTAGGAGCTGAAGTAACTAGTATTTGAGAACCTTTTTATAAAACAACTCTATGATGTCAAATTATTCCCTTACCGGGAATTATTCCCCCAATATTCCCATGTCTCCAAATGAGAAATTGGAGACATGGAGAGGCTTAGCAACTAGCCCAAGGTCAGGACACTTTCTATTTATGTCCTGACCTTGGGCTAGTTGCCTTAAAAGTTCATTCCCCTCCTGCTCTTTTACATTGTCTTATGAGATAATGGAATTTCTTTAAAATAATTGATAAAGGTTAAGCTAAAACATTTTAAATTATGTTAGCCAAAAAAAATTAACAATAATATCCAGTATTGACCAAGGCATGATAAAGCCTGTCTTTTATGTCGACCATGGTATAAACAGATAAGCTTTTGGAAAACAATTAGGCTACTTGAGTACAGTGACTATAAATATGTACATATTTTGATTTCCTGATACTACTTTTAAGAATCTATCATAAGAAACTTCCCCCAAAGTTGAAAGTGCTAATTGTACAGCTGTTCATTATAGAATCATTTATGAATGTGATAGAGAAACACCCTAAATATTCAAAAGTAGGTAAATGTTACTGCACCTACTAAATGTAAAAGTGATTACTATATTTTAAATGACAAAGTAGAATATAAATGTATCTGAATTTCATTTAAAATTACAAATTTAAAAAAGCTAAAGGGTGATTTCTAAATTACACACTAAACTTTTTGAAGTTTGGCTAATTGCTGTAATTAAAAGTGATTATTTTACTAGAACTAAGGAATATGAAGTTGGTCAACTCAACTATAATTTCCACCACTACTTACTGCTTTAAAATAAAAACATCTCAAGCCATAGTACAACGATTAAAAATTTAACATTCAGAGGAACATGTTTATGTGTGGAGGCAGTGTCTTCTGTATCATCTAAAATATGACCAATTTCCAGCAGAATATGAAAAAAAAGGTGATTTGCAGCCACAGAATATCACAGTGGAGAGTAATCTAGAAATCCACCCTTTCAATTACATAGAAAACTATTATCAAAGAGGTTCAATAATCCACCCAAAGTCACTGTCTGTTTGGATAACATTTTTCAGCATCAAAGTTGTCCCTCCAAAGAGAACACACTTTGTTGTGGTCCTTTGTCCACAAAGTAACTTTTCCGCACTAGACTCCTCATAATACCGGGTTAGTCTTAAGTCATGACAATAACTAACCATCAAGAAGAACCTGGGAAAGTCACGCTTATGGTTTTGGGAAAATACACAGACCTACCACACAACGTAGATTAAGTGCAATGCTGACCCCTTAGAATATATTCTATATACTCTACAGAGTCATCAGTAGACTCAATGTAACAGGAATTATCAGAATGAGAATTATGAGATTTATTACGTTCCTAAAATCTCAGCTGACTTCATTACAGAGACTGACAAGCTGATCCTAAAATTCATATAGAAAATCAAGGGACCCAAAATGGCTGTAACGATCTTGAAAAAATCCCATCCTGATTTCAAAACTTACTAATCAAGACAGTGTAATATTGGCAAATGTAGACTTACAGATGCAAATAATACAATTTAGAACCCAGAAATAAACCCTCACATTCTTAACCAATTATTTTTAACAAAGGTACAAAGACATTTTCAATGGAGGAAAGAATAATGTTTTCAACACCTGCATGTCCATGTGCAAAAAAGAGTCATACTTTCTATCTCATACCACATAAAAATCTAACTCAAAATCAATCAGAAACCTAGGTATGACAGCTGAAACTGCAAAAATCATTAAAGAAAACAGGCATGAATCTTCACAACCTTGGATCAGGCAATTGTTTCTGAGATATAATACCAAAAGCAGAAGCAGCAAAAGAAAAAAAATCGACAAAATGAACCTTGTCAAAATTTACAACATTTGTGTTTCCAAGGACACTATCAAGAAAGTGAGAACACAGCCCAAGAATTGGGACAAAATATTTGCAAATGTTATCTCTAATAAGGGCCTAACATCAGACTATATGAAGAACTCCTACAATTCAACAATAAAAATAACCCAGTTGTAAAATGACAAATTATTTAAATGGACACTTCTCCAAAGAAGATATACAAATAGCCTATAAGCACACAAAATGACACTCGATGTCACTGGCTGTCAGAGTGCAACCGAAACAATGAGGCATCACTTCATACCCAGTAGGATAGCTATAATAAAAAAGACAAAGCCAGGTGTTGGCAAGGATATGGAGAAGCCGGATTCTTCATACACTGCTGCTGAGGGTATGAAATGGTCCAGCCACTTTGGAAAACAGCCTGGAAGTTTCTTCAACTGTTACACACAGAGCGACCATATGAGTCAGTTTTCTGATAATCGTTAACTAAGTTTTCAACAAAACCATTATCTTTTTTTCCCCTAGATATTAGGATGTACCAGAAACTCAAAAGGAAATAAAAGCCTAAATATGCACAACACAGAGTTTCTTCTGCATTTTTAGACCATCAAGGCTTAAATAACCATATATGTTCACACTCAGTGTACTGGGTATTTCTAGAGCTTAGATCATTCTGCATGGCTGTCTTCCTAGCTTCGAGAGGCTACAAAAGGTTAATAATTCTGAGATAATTCCCCTGCACTTCCCTGCTTATTATGCTGAGGAAACTGAATACATCTGATAGGGCATCAAGGATATTTGTTATTCACGATGTAATGCTATCCACCCTATTTTCTTTACACAAGAGGCTCAGAAATTTCTACCTCCTGCCCAGGTTTCCCTCACATCACAGCCTTTAATCCGGACCTCTCACATAGGACCATACAATACAGCCTTCCTCCCTAGAACTTGCTCATTTCTAATTCATGTTTATTTGAACATGGGTTTTTTTGACTATTCTATTAGCTTCCCAGAGACAAGGCCCCTGCTCATCTTTTGCTCAGGACTGCATCCTCAGCACCTGACACTCGCAGTGTGTGAAGAAACTGTAGTCAACATGCTGTAAGAATACCGGCATACCTGGGAGATACAGATCACCCCTTAAGACACGTCACAATATGGCAAATCACAAAAATTGTCTCGTTTCTCAGTGTATATAAAATGTATATTTATACTATATCCTATTAAGTGTGCAAATAATATTATGTCTAAAAAACAATATACCTTAGTTTTAAAATATTTCTTTGCTAAAAAAAAAAAAGCTAATCAGCATCTGAGCCTTCGGTGAGTAGGAATTCTTTTGCTGGTAGAAGGTCTTGACTCAATGTTGATGGCTACTGACTGATTAGGGTGGTGGTTGCTGAAGCTTGGGGAGGTGGTGGCAATGTAGAAACAGACAGCAGTGAAGTCCGCCACATCCACTGACGCTTTCATGAAAGACCTCTTTGTAGCATGTGATGTTGTTTAATAGCATTTTACCCACAGCAGAACGTCCTTCAAAACTGGAGTCGTCCTCCCAAACCCTGCCACTGCTTTAAGTTTACGGAATATTGACTCCTTTTGTCATTTCCACAATGTTCACAACATCTTCAGCAGGAGTAGATGCCATCTCAAGAATATACTTTATTTGCTCATTCATAAGAAGCAACTCCTCATCTGCTCAAATTTTTCCAGAGATCAGCAGCAATTCAGCCACATCTTTAGGCTTCACTTCTCACTGTCCTTCTCTTCCTCTTTCAAGCTCATTTTCAGTGACTTCCTCCACTGAAGAGCTGAACCCCTCAGTCATCCATGATGGTCTGACCAACTTCTTGATCAAACTCCTATTCATGTTGATGCTCTGACCTTCTCCCATGAATCACCAGTATTCTTAATGGCATCTAGAAGAGCAAACCCTTTTCAGACGGTTTCCAACTGACTTTGCACAGTTCCATCAAAGGAATCGGTATCTACAGCAGCTAGTTTTATACAAGGCATTTCTTAAATAGTAAGACCTGAAAGTAAAAATTACCCCTTGATCCATGGGCTGCAAAATGGACGCTATGTTAGCAGGTGTGAAAACAACATTCATCTTCTTGTACATCTCCATCAGAGTTCTTGGGTGACCAGGTGCATTGTCAGTCAGCAGTAATATTTTAAAAGAAATCTCTGAGTTGTAGGTCTTAACAATGGGCTTAATAGTCAGCAAACCATGCTGTAAACAATTATGCTGTCATCCAGGCTTTGTTGTTTCATTTATAGAGCACAGGCAGAGTAGGTTTTGCATTATTCTTAAGGGCCACAGAATTTTCAGAATGGTAAGCCAGGTAAGCACTGGCTTCAAGTTACAGTTACCAGATGTTTTAACTCCTAATAAGACAGTCAGCTTGTCCTTTGAAGCCGGGCATTGACTTCTGTTTCCCTGTGAAAGTTGTAAATAGCATCTTCTTTCAGTCTGAGGCTGAGAGTCTGTTGTTTTTTGTAGCCAGCTTTATCAATGATCCCAGCGAGATCTTCTGGATAGCTCGCTGCAGCTTCCACATCAGCACCTGCTGCTTCACCTTTTACTCTTACGTTACAGAGAGTTTCCTTAAACCTCATGAACCAATCTCTTCTAGCTTCCAACTTTTTTTTCTGTAGCTTCCTCACCTCTCTCAGCCTTCATACAACTGAGGAGAGTTAGGGTCTCATTCTAGATTAGGCTTTGGCTGAAGTGAAAGTTGCAGCTGGTTTAATCTGGTCAGATCTCTCCAACTTTCTCTGTGTCAGGAGTCTGTTTTGCTTTCCTATTTGTGTGTTCACTAGAGGAGCACTTTGAATTTTCTTCAAGAACGTTTCCTTTTCGTTTACAGTTTCGCTGACTGCTTGGCACATGAGGCCTGGCTTCCGGCCTGTCTTGGCTTTCAGCATGCCTTCCTCACTGAACTTAATCATATCCCTCCTTTAAAGTGAGAGACATACAACTTTTCTTTCACTTGAATATTTAGAGGTCATTATAGGGTTATTAATTGGTTAATTTAGTATTACTGTGTCTCAGGGAATAAGGAGGCCCAAGGAAAGGGAGAGAGATGATACGACCACTGACTGGTCCCTCTTCCAGTTGGGTTCACTGTCTTATATGGGCCTGGTTCATGGTGTCCCAAGACAATCAACAGGAACATCATAGATCACCATTACAGACATAATAATAAAAAAGCTTAAAATATTGTGAGAATTACCAAAATTTGACACACAGACATGAAGTGAACAACTGCAGTTGAAACAATGGTGCTGGTAGAATTGCAAAAAATACATTTGCGAGGCTCAAGAAAATGAGATGCTCATACCTTCTTTTCTTCTGATTTGCTCTTCTAAATCTGCCATGGATTTAGAAGCTACACAACTGTTTTATCATTGCATATAAAATAAGACAATGTAGGCAGGCAGTGTATGGGAGACCTCTTATCTCTCTCTTTGTCCATCCATGTATCTAGAGAGATTGATCGATTTTTTTTTTTTTTTTTTTTTTGAGGCAGGGTCTCGCTGTGTTGCCCAGGCTGGAGTGCAGTAGCACAATTCTGGCTCACTGCAACCTCCACCTCCCAGGTTAAAGTGATTAGTCCACCTCAGCCTTCTGAGTAGCTGGGATGTCAAGGGCGTACCACAACATTCGGCTAATTGTTTTGTGTTTTTAGTAGAGATGGGGTTTCACCATGTTGGCCAGGCTCGTCTCAAACCCCTGACCTCAAGTGATCCACCTACCTTGGCCTCCCAAAGTGCTGACATTACAGGTGTGAGCCACCATGCTCAGCCTATACCTCTGTCTGTCTGTCTGTCTGTCTATCTAAAGTATGGAATTGTAGTAAAGACATTTTGTGAAAACTTTTATGGCTTCTTGAGAGACAAAGTTTTTGGATTCTCAGCTGTGGTTCAAATAGTGGAGGCTGCAGGCTATCTTGGGAATTAAGTCCAATCAAAGTGTAAAAAAGGACATAAAAATATAGGCTGCTTACAGGCAGCAAACCACCTGGTTATGTATGCACCTATGCAACAACCCTGCATGACCTGCACATGTACCCCAGAACCTAAAGTAAAATAAAAAAAAATACAGGCTGCTGAACTGTGAAGAGGTGCTAAAACCAAATCTTGACACCACTTAGCAATTAAGGAATATCCACTTTCAAAAGAGCATTTATCTTGGGAGAAGTAAATTTTCCATTTCATTTAGACCACATTAACAAGATCATTTTTAAAAAACACTACAATTCTCTGTTAGTAATAAAATGTCCTTTTATACATCAGATGACCAATCATGCTTACCATATTTTAATGCTATGTGGCCCATCATAAAAAGTTATATTTACACCTTAAATAGGAGATTCTATTTATAAGCGCACCAGTGAAAAAATCACTGTAAATAAGTATCTGAAATGTTATTTACAAAAGGATTCTTTTTATCCCCATCCATAAAGTGGTCACTCACCTGCATTAAGAGCTGTAAATAAATTTTTTCTCGAAGGACCTAAGATATAAAAGAAATATATGTAAAATATACATTTGACATATCACACAAAAACAAACCATGTTGATAAGAATTATTTTCAAAAACGCTCTCTCTCAATTTCAGGTTCCAGGTGAGAAATACCACTGAGATTCAACCAACTTCTGTCAAGTGCATTTTAAATATGATATTCCACATAACATCAAAATGTTGAAGAATGATATGAAGTTATTATCACAAATTAAATAGGATCAGCTTTAATAGGAAAAGCCACAGTATTTTTCAATCAAGAAGAGCCGAGTTTCAAGTTTTAACAGCACTGAATTCACACATTTACTGTGCACATAATACTACTCTGATGCCGGCAGAGCAGGGGCCAGACTTCACGAAGGACAATCACTTTTCAAAACTACCCATTTCTATTCAGCTATGAAGAAAAATACAAGATTTGCCTCCAAACTGATACCATATAAACATCAGGAGTGGTTTTGTTGCTCGTTTGTTTTTTGAGACAGGGTCTCGGTGTGTTGCCCAGGCTGGAGTGCAGTGGCACAATCTTGGCTCACTGCAACCTCTGCCTCCCAGGTTAAAGCGATTATCCCGCCTCAGCCTCCTGAGTAGCTAGGACTTCAAAAGCCTTCAAGAGCATACCACCACATGCAGCTAATTCTTTTGTATTTTTAGTAGAGATGGGGTTTCACCAGGTTGGCCAGGCTGGTCTCAAACTCTTGACCTCAAGTAATCCACTCACCTCAGCCTCCCAAAGTGCTGGCATTACAGGTGTGAGCCACGACGCTCAGCCTTTACCTCTATGTATCTATAAGAAATCTATGAACACTTCTACTTAACATGAAATAGTCATCTCTAGCACATAATCATCTGCAAATACTAGTTAGAACAGCTACGATGTTCTATCTGAAATTTTACAGAGCTGAAAATTTCTTAAAATATGTGGCTATTATCAATGGGAAGTACTGATTCCCACTCAAGTAAAACCGCTGTGACACAAAAAACCTATACATTCAATAGTGAGGCATTTTAGAATTCTCAGTCCCCTGTTCTACAAAGCTGTTCATGGAATCTCATTCTCTGGAAGTTATTTTAGTACCAAAGTCCAACAGCGTTAACTTTGTTACTGCTGTGTGGATCATGGGGCTTTATCATCTCAATGAAAACCAGTTTTCCATCTTGATGTCAACCCAGGAAGAGGTCATTTGATGCTCCGAAATTTTATTAAGTCACTAGACTAATGACAACCTGCTGCACACTGAAAAATTCAACCCACTCCTAAAATTCATGCCCATTTTATCTTCTATTCCATACAAAGAAGAGGTATTGACATACATTCGCCAACCTCAAGCACCACATGATCCTTTGAACACACACACACAGAGACAGACACATGTTAAGGAGGATGCTGTGACAGAGTAACACCTTTTAGAAGGTTACTTAGTAATAGTAAAAATCCGAAGACTTTCAGACAGGTTAACCCAGTAATTTCTCCTTCTGGGATATCCAGAAGTAACTAGAATCTGAAACAGTGAACTATGACTCACATTTGAAGAGGTTCATCTCAGTATTAATACACCCAATCAAAGTCCGAAGTTGTCCACTATGAAGTGGACAACGATAGAATTTGGAAACAGCAGACTGCTGCATGGCCGTTTAAAGTGAACAAGCTATCATGATATACCACCAACTTAATAAAAAGCAAGAGACAGAAGTGTATATTCATTATTACCCCAATTTTGCTGGAGTAAAAGCAAAACAACATATATATGCAGAGGAAAAAAGTCAGAGGAAATGTGATAGCAATTGGTGGTTGAGAGAATTAAGGAAGACTCTATGTTTCTGTGTTTTCCAAATTCTCTAACATAAATGAGGGTCTCATTTTATAGGTCAAGTTTCTCACTCACAGTTATTCTCTCAGGCTTCAGTTAAGCTTTAGTTCACTAAGCACAAAGATGGCTTTTTTTTTTTTTTGAGACAGAATCTCACTCTGTCACCCAGGCTGGAGTGCAGTATAGCGATCTCAGCTTGCTGCAACCTCTGCCTCCTGGGTTCAAGTGATTCTTGTGCCTCAGCCTCCCGAGCAGCTGGGACTAAAGGTACACACCACCACACCCAGCTAATTTTTGTATTTTTAGTTGAGATGGGGTTTCACCATCTTGGCCAGGCTGGTCTTGAACTCCTGACCTCAAGTGGTCCACCTGTCTTGGCCTCCCAAAGTGCTGGGATTACAGGTGTGAGCCACCATGTGTGGCACAAAGCAGGCTTCTGATGTGCTTTGGGCCCACTGTGACAAAGCTGCATGAAAACACCGCACATTAAGTATATATCACATATTTTGTAAACCTGAAAATTACTTTTATAGTCACAGTAAATACAAAGTGAGTGATAAAAGAAGGAATAGAGATAAAGAACATGTAGGGCCAGGCATGGTGACTCATGCCTGTAATCCCAGCACTTTGGGAGGTTGAGGTGGACGGATCACAAGGTCAAGAGATCAAGACCATCCTGGCCAACATGGTGAAACCCCATCTCTTCTAAAAATATAGAAATTAGCTGGGTGTAGTGACGCATGCCTGTAGTCCCAGCTACTTGGGAGGCTGAGGCAGGAGAATCGCTTGAACCGGGAGGCAGAGTTTGCTGTGAGCCGAGATCGTGCCATTGCACTCCAGCCTGGGCAACAGAGCAAGACTCCATCTCCAAAAAAAAGAACATTTAGAGGAAGAACACTGTCTTGGACCAAAGACATGAAGACACAAATACAGTAATAAACATGAAATATCTACCCTGACAAAAAGTAAATCATGCATTTCTACTCCCATCTCTCTTTCCTAGAGCACTATTCTTAGATTAACTTAACTCTAGAAGTTCTGTGATTCTTACTTTATGCCTTTGTTCTGCCTGCTAATTTTATATGTAATGATTTTTAACTATAGAACTTACCGACTCTCAGAACAATTTTCTCAGTGCAAAAATATATCTCTTTACTTAACACATTTTTAATCACTGTTAAATATACCATAAACCTAATTGTCACTTAAAGCATCTTGCCCTCCCTCTTCTAATCACAATGAGGACCGTACCTTTTGGAGGAGTTTTCAGCAGGTGAACATGAGCCCTGGATATCAAAGGCTTCAAATAAAAGGATCCTGAGGAACCATTTTGAAATGCTGGTTTTGGAGGTTTCTCCTCATATTTGATGACAGCAGCATTACTTGCTGTAATAAAACAGAAAAGAACATTTTATTATATAGATAAATACAGTTTTGACCTTCCAAATTTATTCCTTTGTCCTTGAGTCAACAAATGCCCAATAAACACCTATGACCGGCCAGTCATTACTGAACGATGGGAGTACAGCGTGGATAACAGGTAGCTTGTGTGCTCAGGGATGCGAAATAAAGGCCGCAATCACAGTGACCAGACATCCGGTTTTGCCTGGCACAGTCTAACTTATGCATCTTGTCCAGTTCAGCTTTCATCCCAGATAAAAGTTGGGGAAGAAATAATACGGCTATTCATGCAATGTAACAAGGATGCCCCAGGTGCAGCTAGGAAGAATACCCATCTCCATGGGGACGAGGAAGAATTCATGCAGCCAGCTACTTAATGACATCAGAACAGTAACATACAGACTACTTGGTAGCTATAAGAATGAGAGGATGAGATCTGGTTCAAATCCTCGCTGCTGCAGCAAGGAGTTAAAAATGCCAACTTCTTCCCTGAACAAAGAAAGTTTGCTCAAAAAAAGAGTTTGCTCCAAATCGAAAACATAAAAGGGAATCTCACCTGAAAACAAAAACTGTCTTTTATATTATGTGTAAAAACCCCCCCCCCGCCCCCCACCACCAACCCAGACTGGATTTCCATATCAATATCCAATTCTAAGCTCCTGATTCTATTCTACTATTCAACACTTATACATTTCTTTATTAACAACTCTGACCCCTTTTCTCACTTCACTCATTTAGCAAAGGGTTAAGATGCCTACCTTGTTTACAAAGACAGTATAACAAGATGGCTAGAAATTTTTCACTATGCTAAATTATTCCAACTGCCACAATAGTGCTTAGACACATCACATTCAAACTTTGCACAGGCATGCTATTATTTTCCCTAATCCACACCCAGTCCCTGTACAATGAGCCATCTGTTAATTGTTCTTGTGCCCAAATAACATTCCTAATATTAGGTCAAATCAACACAGAGCTTTTCCTCCTGCTGAGAAAATTCTGTCAACTTCCTGTTCTTTTCTCCAAGTCTCACCTTCCCTAGAACCTAGAGACTTAGTATTTCCAAAGTTGACGAGAAGCTAACAGGAATGATAGTATTAAAGATTCTGCTATTGTAACATTCAACAGAACCGTTTTAGATGTTTATATGAAGTGGATATTGGGTTTCAATTAGCATTTTAGCTTTTGCTGAATCAAATCCAACAAACAAAATTAGAGAGTTTGACCATGGAATTTTAACAATCTGGTTTTAGTCTTACTTTTCTTGAAGCTATATTACATTTGGCAACAAATAAGTCACTTATTCATATTTTTAAAATTAAACTGAGTGGCCGGGCATGGTGGCTCATGCCTGTAATCCCAGTACTTTGGGAGGCCAAGGTGGGTGGATCAGGAGGTCAAGAGATTGAGACCATCCTGGCCAACATGCTGAAACTCTGTCTCTACTAAAAATACAAAAATTAGCTTGGCATGGTGGCACATGCCAAGTACTTGGGAGGCTGAGGAAGGAGTATCACTTGCACCCAGGAGGCAGGGGTTGCAATGAGCTGAAATGGCGCCACTGCACTCCAGCCTGGCGACAGAGCAAGATTCTATCTGAAAAACAAAACAAAATTAAACTGAGTTCAATTTACAAACCTAATATGAAATTGTGTGATTCTAAATTCAGGCTTTCCTAAACTTTAGACACAAAGGCCTGCAGTTCACTAAGAGACCAGTAAGAAGGTTTCTCATTAAAGTAAAGGACACGTTTCTCATGAGGCCTGATACTCCTTTCCCTTGGCTCACTGTCACATGCAGAATAGGAGGTGATGTGCTGGAAACCAGCTGTCTCAATGCCACTTTTCAGACTCAATACAACACTCAATCGATCCAGCACCAGACCTATCAACTTCGTAACACAGAAAATGAAATCAGAATCCATACTGCAAGAATAAAATGTCTGCTTCAACTCAGGTACAAACACACATGTATTTACATTTTATACATATTTACATGAAAGCTATATGTACAAGATATTTATTCACATACTCTATGATCAACGATTGTACATGCTTTCTGCCTTTCTAATGACAGGCACAAACTATACTGAACTGAACATACTTGTTTGACTAACACTTAATATCTTTCTCGCAATCTCTACTCACTGTACTCGAGGCTGGCCCACTGCTTTCTAGTAAACCCCAACTTGAAGGACGTGTATCATCATGAGGCAGGATGCTCCTCACGTATTTCCCCTGCCCTCTAGTTCTGTTCCTAACACGGCAACTGGCTTGGGTATCCTGATGCTATCTAAATTTTCCCTTACCCAGACTCATTATATCCAAACAATAAAGTCCTCAGTGGCAACAGTTCC